TCATGTGTGAACTTTCTCAGTTTAGCGGAATCATGAACATTTTCGGCGAGATGAATGTTTTGTATACAGTGGTGATCAAGGCTTTGCGAACCATCAGGAGCGGATCAAAGAATTTATGAATGAATAAAAACTATGGAAATGACGTACCAATTTTTTAATTTATACTTGCACTATCTAATGAAATGAATAATATACAAGTGATAGATATACAAGAAAACGCGAAATGATAATAAATGCAGCTGACAATCGTTATTTATTTTTATATATAGATAAAATAAAATATTTATAAATTCAAGAGACAAACAGAAGGAGAATGAATGATGGCAAAATATCACATGACGGGAACTGAATTTTATGAATGAAGATTTTAAAAAGTTACTTGTAAGTTGTATATGTTATATCTGTGTATTCTACTTGGCTGTGTGCTTCAAAAAAAGGGGGGGGGGTTCGTCTTGAACATAGTAAATAGCCATAACGTTTGAACGGTAAGTACTAGGGCTTTCGTATTTCAAATATGTAATCCTTGTGAAAAGAACTTTTATTGGATACGACGAACTTTGACCCTTTGACCTAGACCTTGGAGAACACATGTGTACATCTGAATCTTTTTTTCTGTTTCGTTTCTATGGCAACCGTTAGCGACTCATTACAATTATTTTGAAAGTAGAAATCACTTTGACACATTGCAAGGAATAAACATTGAAAATTTCAAAACGATTGCCTGAGTAGTTATTGAGAAAATCGAAATTAAAGAATTTTAACTTTCACCTGGTTTCCATGGCAATAATCGATTATATGAAAATTTTAGATACGAGTTGCAGAACTACAGATACTAATCATTAAAATAAGAAAAGTTTCATGACGAACGTTTAAGGGACCAGAGAGAACACTCCCGGACAAAATTTGTCGCTTTTTACAGGTTTCCATGGTAACGGTAGACATATTGGAACTGAACGACCTCACTGCACAACTACAACCAGTTATCGTCCTTTAAGGAAAGTTTATGGATTATTGTCCCAGCCATCTCGTAGAAAATGCCTGGTTAAAAAAAAACATGCGTACAATATCAATATGTCGTCCCCGACTTCGTTCGGGGCGACATAATAACTTCTGAATTTTTCTCATCAATAACTCCTGAATTTTCCCCGTCAATTCGAGCATTTCTGCATTGCAGAGAGCTGATGTGTGTTATGAGATAATAAATCATGTGTGAACTTTCTCAGTTTAGCGGAATCATGAACATTTTCGGCGAGATGAATGTTTTGTATACAGTGGAGATCAAGGCTTTGCGAACCATCAGGAGCGGATCAAAGAATTTAAGGAAAGTTTCAGGAAGATTGTCCCAGCCATCTCCGAGAAACAGCCTGGATAAAAAAAACATGCGTACAATATCAATATGTCGTCCCCGACTTCGTTCGGGGCGACATAATAACTCCTGAATTTTTCTCATCAATAACTCCTGAATTTTCCCCGTCAATTCGAGCATTTCTGCATTGCAGAGAGCTGATGTGTGTTATGAGATAATAAATCATGTGTGAACTTTCTCAGTTTAGCGGAATCATGAACATTTTCGGCGAGATGAATGTTTTGTATACAGTGGTGATCAAGGCTTTGCGAACCATCAGGAGCGGATCAAAGAATTTATGAATGAATAAAAACTATGGAAATGACGTACCAATTTTTTAATTTATACTTGCACTATCTAATGAAATGAATAATATACAAGTGATAGATATCCAAGAAAACGCGAAATGATAATAAATGCAGCTGACAATCGTTATTTATTTTTATATATAGATAAAATAAAATATTTATAAATTCAAGAGACAAACAGAAGGAGAATGAATGATGGCAAAATATCACATGACGGGAACTGAATTTTATGAATGAAGATTTTAAAAAGTTACTTGTAAGTTGTATATGTTATATCTGTGTATTCTACTTGGCTGTGTGCTTCAAAAAAGGGGGGGGGGGTTCGTCTTGAACATAGTAAATAGCCATAACGTTTGAACGGTAAGTACTAGGGCTTTCGTATTTCAAATATGTAATCCTTGTGAAAAGAACTTTTATTGGATACGACGAACTTTGACCCTTTGACCTAGACCTTGGAGAACACATGTGTACATCTGAATCTTTTTTTCTGTTTCGTTTCTATGGCAACCGTTAGCGACTCATTACAATTATTTTGAAAGTAGAAATCACTTTGACACATTGCAAGGAATAAACATTGAAAATTTCAAAACAATTGCCTGAGTAGTTATTGAGAAAATCGAAATTAAAGAATTTTAACTTTCACCTGGTTTCCATGGCAATAATCGATTATATGAAAATTTTAAATACGAGTTGCAGAACTACAGATACTAATCATTAAAATAAGAAAAGTTTCATGACGAACGTTTAAGGGACCAGAGAGAACACTCTCGGACAAAATTTGTCGCTTTTTACAGGTTTCCATGGCAACGGTAGACATATTGGAACTGAACGACCTCACTGCACAACTACAACCAGTTATCGTCCTTTAAGGAAAGTTTCAGGAAGATTGTCCCAGCCATCTCCGAGAAACAGCCTGGATAAAAACCAGAAGTCTCTGTCGAGACTGTAGCTCTACTGGTATGTACTTATCAAAAACCAATGCACTATTTTACGTATCTTAGTGTAGTCTACTTGTGTGCCAAGTTATATTGAAATCAGATCAAAATTGTAGGAGAAGTAGCGTTTTAAAGGAATTTCACAGAAAATTCTATTTTTAGTAACCATGGCAACACCGTTCATCGAAATCAAAAACCAATGCACTATTTTATGTATCTTAGTGTAGTCTACTTGTGTGCCAAGTTATATTGAAATCAGATCAAAATTGTAGGAGGAGTAGCGTTTTAAAGGAATTTCACAGAAAATTCTATTTTTAGTAACCATGGTAACACCGTTCATCGAAATCAGAAACCGATGCACTATTCTATGTATCTTAGGGTAGTCTACTTGTGTGCCAAGTTATACTGAAATCAGACCAAAACTGTAGAAGGAGTAGCGTTTTTAAAGAATTTCACAGAAAATTATATTTTTAGTAACCATGGCAACACCGTTCATCAAAATCAAAAACCGATGCACTATTCTATGTATCTTAGTGTAGTCTACTTGTGTGCCAAGTTATATTGAAATCAGACCAAATCTGTAGAAGAAGTAGCGTTTTTAAGGAATTTCACAGAAAATTCTATTTTTAGTAACCATGGCAACATCGTTCATCGAAATTAAAAACCGATGCACTATTCTATGTATCTTTGTGTAGTCTACTTGTGTGCCAACTGATTTTGAAATCAAACTAGAACTGTAGAAGGAGTAGCGTTTTTAAGGAATTTCACAGAACATTCTATTTATAGTAACCATGGCAACACCGTTCATCGAAATTAAAAACCGATGCACTATTCCATGTATCTTAGTGTAGCCTACTTGTGTGCCAAGTTATATTGAAATCAGACCAAAACTGTAGAAGGAGTAGCGTTTTAAAGGAATTTCACAGAAAATTCTATTTTTAGTAACCATGGCAACACCGTTCATCGAAATCAAAAACCGATGCACTATTCTATGTATCTAAGTGTAGTCTACTAGTGTGCCAAGTTATCTTGAAATCAGACCAAAACTGTGGAAGGAGTAGCGTTTTAAAGGAATTTCACAGAAAATTCTATTTTTAGTAACCATGGCAACACCGTTCATCGAAATCAAAAACCGATGCAGTATTCTATGTATCTTAGTGTAGTCTACTTGTGTGCCAAAGTATATTGAAATCAGAAATATTTTCTATGGCAACCGTTAGCGACTCATTACAATTATTTTGAAAGTAGAAATCACTTTGACACATTGCAAGGAATAAACATTGAAAATTTCAAAACGATTGCCTGAGTAGTTATTGAGAAAATCGAAATTAAAGAATTTTAACTTTCACCTGGTTTCCATGGCAATAATCGATTATATGAAAAGGACTTAAGCCAGAATGTACAAAAATCCGCCCTGTCACCAAAACGGATGAAACTTTTTCAAACAATGCTCTTAGATTAGTATATTATATAACATTTTATTTTTTAACAATATCTTTTCTAGTTTTATTTTTACAGCCGTTTGAATTTGGTATTGTTCTCAATGTTAATTCTACAACGTCATGACGTTGCCGTTACTTACTTTAACGTCATGACGTCAATCTTATATACTTTAACGTCATGATGTGAACTTAATTAGTGATAAACATATCATATATATTCTTAAGAGGAGAACATTCAATTATTTTTATTTAAATCTCAATGTATCATGTTTTTTTCAAAGAAATTCTGAGGCATGGAAAAGAGTTTAGTGTTTGCTTTTCTTATAGTCTGTACTTCTCTAAAGAAAATATATATACTTCATAAGCTGTTTACCATTTTACAAATGTAAGAGTGTCAGTTTAAAATAATAATAACAACAAAATTCTCAGTTTTGTAAACATTTGTATTTCTTGCTCCAATAGTATTCATAACAATACATAAAATATTGAAGTAAACTTCACTTTACCATATTCATAAAGTAAAACATAAAAATACATAAATCAGAAAACGTGTATATATGCAAAGTCAAGTTTTGCCTTGTGAGATTATAAACAGGTATATTGAAAAAATAACACTCTACATGCAGAGCGGCCAAATTTCCGCATCCGACTTAAAACTCACACATGAGATTATAAACAGGTAAATTGAAAAATAACATTCTACATGCTGAGCGGCCAAATGTCGATCCGCATCCGAGTTAAAACTCACACATGAGATTATAAACAGGTATGTTGAAAAAACAACACTCTACATGCGGAGCGGCCAAATTTCCGCATCCGACTTAAAACTCACACATGAGATCAAAGAGGTTTATTGAAAAAACAACACTCTACATGCGGAGCGGCCAAATTTCCGCATCCGACTTTAAACTCACACATGAGATATAAGAGGTTTATTGAAAAAACAACACTCTACATGCGGAGCGGCCAAATTTCCGCATCCGACTTAAAACTCGCACATGAGATTATAAACAGGTAAATTGAAAAATAACACTCTACATGTGGAGCGGCCAAATTTCCGCATCCGACTTAAAACTCACACATGAGAATATAAACAGGTATATTGAAAAAACAACACTCTACATGCGGAGCGGCCAAATTTCTGCATCCGACTTAAAACTCACACATGAGATTAAACAAATAAATTGAAAAAAATAAGACAATTTTTCTAAAAACATATATACAACATATATATAAAATAACAATATATAAAATACAATGAACATTAACTAACTGTTCACTCCTCGGGAACACTTTCACAGCTACTGTCATCACTGTCAGACTCGATCGTCCAAAGCAGGAGGGATGTCAGCTGCATCAAGGACATGCTCACTCCAGTCACGCACACCATATGTCCTTTGTTCATGTCTTCCTTTTGCCAGGTACCAAATGATGGCTGCTATGTGAGAGCACTTGCCTACAACTCTGGCACCCGCTCTGCAGGTACAGTACCATGCTTCTACAGAGTAATCAGAATACTCAATCCAAACTAAATACTGCTTTGATGATGTGTGCCGACTCTGAATTTTTACCTTTAGGAGCCTATCATTTTCTTTATGGAAGAAAATATCACATCCTCCCTCAATGTGTTCTTGAATGTAGCTACGAGAGAGCTTCAATTGATAGGTGCCACAAGTCAAATTCCGCAACTGATCCTCATCCATCATGGGGAAATTCTGAATTTCACATTCAAGAACTGTTTGCCATTGAGTAGATCTTCTGTTAAGTCCATTCTCTTGAACCATTCATTTGAAATTATTCACCTATTAAGAAAGGCAGTAATGCAATGCATATATTATACTGAATCATGTGCATGTAATTATAACTTATATACTGATGTATTCAAGGGAGATGTGCAAGATGAAATTTAAAAAAAACTTAAATGTCTTCTTAAATGCAGATTTTTGCAGCTGCTCAATTACTAGTACATTAAGGTATTATACAATAAATCAATTGTGCAACTTAAATACCTGTTTGGACAGATAGAGCATTTTTGCTGCCTCTGCATCATCAGCCTCAGTGCTATTACTTTTACTCAGGGGTGGAGAATCTGTTTGAGAGTGCGCAGACTATCCTAACATAGTCACCGATGAAGGGAATTTGATTAGTGGGTAGTGTCTTGTCCAAATATCGCCACCTTTTGATACGTGCGTTTGAAGATTCCACTACCCATCTGACCTGAAAAATATTTTTTCAAAACTTATTCATAGTACTATATTTTCACAAGAAATTGTATTAACTTTATTGCAAGAATTTACATGTTATTTACCTTTGTCACAAGTCTGCTCATATTTGCATCATCAGTAGTCATTTGGTTTTGTCCCTTGAGCAGAAATCGGGGCATTTCTGCCTGGATTCCAAGATCTTCAAGCAGATGAACCCGCGGTCAACAATAAAGATGTCGTGTTCACTTAGCCAGCTCCGAATTTCTTCAGCATTTGTTTTGATGATGTGTTGGAGAATGGAAGCATCATTGTTTTTATTATCAGCGAGATATGGTCCTAAGATTGAGACAAAGTAACCAGTAGTAGTCACGATAACCATAGGCTTGATTAGTGGTCTCCCCTTGTGGATGCTGTAAGAACGTGTTTGGTAGTGGAAATTATTGCTCTTGGCTGTGTATATGTAAGTGCCATCCAGTACCAATATGGCTTGTTTCTTCTCGATGTTACCGAACAGTGTCTGTGCTAGCTGTTGTGTATGGTCATCGATGACTTCCTCTCTTCCTATGTGTTCAAACCCAAGATGGTGCGGCACAAAGCTGATCATCAATGCTGTTCTTACAGCACTAATAGCCCTCCTTAAACTAGATTTGGAAGTTTGGAAAAAGTGTTGACAGTATTTGATTTGACAAGCCAGTCTTTAACTTGCAAAGGAATATGGCAACGGATTTTCTTAGACTCCTAGATGGTGTTGGTTTCACTTCATCTTTCACATAATCACATATTGTATGGAAATCTTCCTTGTTGAGTCCCAGCAAAGATAAATAGTCTGTATCGGTCAGAGTCGTGGTGTCATCAAAGTCCAAATAAGACTTGTCGTGTTTATGACATAAAACACGCATCTCTTGAAGTAAACTTAGGATGGCAGTTCTGTTAACAAATGCATGGTCTGTCGTTGGTAATTGCTGAATTGCAGCAGTTGTGAAGCATTCATTTTCCACATGACCAGGACAACATCTATTTCCGGATGGAATTAGTACATTGTGTTCAATAAAAACAGATGTGCGGCATTCTGGTGACACTACTATCAATTTTGGACCAGGTTTCTTACAAACGATACAATAGGCATGCGTCTTTGCCGTGGATTTTAAGTGCAAGGATACAGATGGTGGACTGGAGAGATGTTTTCTGTTGTCATTTGTTTCGGACGCTGAACATTCTTTGTGAATTGTGGTAGAGCAGGGTGTTGCAGATGATTTATGGCATGAAACATCTCTGTAATAACTGCTTCTACATTTGCTGCAGATGACAGAATTTTCCCTTCCTTCCACCATAAACCTTTTTCTTAAATATTTTCTTATGCCTTTGTCAAGAATTGCCTCCTTTCATTGGGTTTTGTTCTTTTAGAGCACAATACACAGTTGAAGTATTCAGTTTTGTATCCTGGCATTATCTGAAATTAAATATAAGAACGTTTACATTTTATAAATTACTGTCCAGGCTAATTATGAAAAATAATTCATATACCTTTCCAACTGAATAAAATGATTTTTTTTTTATTTCACTTTTAATTTTTTTTTTCAATACAGCCAAAATGGCTGATTAAAATCTTTTGAAAATATCAATCTCATCCATATTAGAATTACAATAAAAATTTCATCCTATGGTCTAAGCTAGCTACATGTATACTCAGATTCATGGACTTAAATATTGTTGAAACTTTGCCTTAGGAAGGACATGAATTTTTAGATCATTATATTTTTATTACACACTTAGTAATAAATACAGGTTTTTTGCATATGCGATATGGCTGATGTCACATTAGCCGTATCAGACCTACAGAGTTGATATGGATTTGCAGGGCTGATAACCTATATCTATATCTATAGCTATTGTGACGTCAATATCATACCCTTAGTAAATTAAACCACAAAAACAGTACTTAATTGTGATCATACACAATTTTTGGTGGGTTCATATTCTCTTAATTTTAACTTTTTGAAAATAAGGTTAATCTTAATTTACAAATAAATGTAATAGATTATTTTCAAATTACGGATCGAGTGCATTGAAATAGTAGTAGAGACAAACCCAAATCGTACATGTATGTAAGAAGTCCATTCATGATTATTTACTTATTTTCTTCTCAACTTAATGTATGCTGTATTTTATTACTAAGTATGTAATGAACATATTAATACATACCCTTTTCCACATCACATCCTGTATCAGCCCGAGACACCAATATCAGCCAGAGGGCCTCGACCAATATCAGCCCTCGGGCCTTCGGCCCTCTGGCTGATATTGGTGTCTCGGGCTGATACAGGATGTGATATGGAAAAGGGTATGTATTATTCTCTATATATATACTCACCGTCAATGAAAACGCAACACTCTAATTCTAGGGTGAAAAGTATATACGGGTTATAACTATGTACAAAAAAGTTAAGACATCTTTTACTTTGCCAAATCAATTATTTAACGGTTGAATGAATTTCCTTCCTCTACCGGAAGTTGCTTTTTAGCCCTCTTATCTGAAATCAAATTTTTGCATTTTTAATAAAATTTAAAACAATATTTTGGGTTTTCAAGGTTTTGAAACTGTTAATCATAAGTATTGTGCTAAAAGGCCAGGAAACAAATCTTTCTTTTTTACCGGATGTGATGCCTATTTTTCATCAAAATGACTGATTTTCATTGCTAATGCTGGAAATTCTTAAAATAAAGAAAAAAAGAGCTGCAGTGTTGAAATGTACACTATATCACGACTCATCAGGCTCATGTATTGCAGTAGCATAAATAACATTTTCTTGCACGGAAGTCCAAGAGTTACTACACTACGCCAAGTTAGAGAAAATTCGACCGCAGTTTCTGAACAACATGCAATTAAAAATGCCCAAAAATATTTTTTTCGCTCAGATAAAGACATTGATAAACCTAATGGGTGGTAAAAATCGGACTGCGTACATGCATAATTTTCATAGCGGACTAGCATGTTTTGATTAAATGGTCGGAAGGGGGGGTGTTTTATTTAAATGTTATCTGTTAAGAGGGCTAACAAATCAGCTTTCGGTAATGAAATGAAAGCCATTCAAACATTAAATAACTGATTTGGCAAAGTTAAAGATGTCCTAACGTGTTTGGTATATAGTTATAACCCGTATATACTTTTCAACCTAAAATTAGAATGTTGCGTTTTCATTGACGGGGAGTATACAAAAATTGTCTTCTTACTCTGAGAATACTTTAAAGATATTTGATTGAGTTCAACCACCTCATATATTGTTGCTTTATTTAGTTCTTACTGTGGTTTTCTACAATATATAATTTTTTTCGTATGCACGCGCCTTCAGATCCACCCCCATTCCAGCAATTTATATTTAATTTATGAACAACAATAAAAAAGTTGCAGAATTATAATATTAAAATTGATTTTGGCTGTTTATTATTTTAAAATATTTACTATTACTTATGTTATGAGGAATTTACTTAAACATGCTATTATGTGCATTGTTGATTATATTATTTAAAGAAAATCCCATTATTAAAGAAAAATCATTAAAAATATATTTAAATAGAACGTGAATTTTTCAAAGAGAGGTAACTCATGAAAACAAAAACAAAAAACCCCACTGATGTTGAGTATCTGTGTTAATGTGTTTATTTTTGATAAATTATGACTATTTAAATATAATTTTTTTTAACATTGATATATTTTCTTGTAAATAAGTACTGTACTTTTATTTTAAAAAAAAGAGAAAAAAAAGAGGGGATTCAGATTGACATGTGTTCCAGTGTTATCATTCCTTATCATATTGGTGTGAAATTTAAAATGAGCTTACTAGATACTGCATACTCATAGGCCTAACGTTATACACAGATTTTAATAAAAACTTAATTTAGACCAATGCCGATCTTTATTGCATCTCAATCACATGTACTAGGCCTAGATATGCATATTGCATACCTGACAGTAGTACGAAAATTCTGACGTTTTCTTGGCTTTTTTACGATCTTGATAGATTACATGCCAGGAATAGTCCGATTTCCTGGGGTTTTTTTTACGATCTTGATAGTTTACATGCCAGGAAAGTAAAATATCAAAATCGTTAAAAAAAAACAGGAAAACGTCAGATTTTTCGGACTAACCTGACAGTACATCACACTGCAGACGACATATGGGTCAAGCGAACGGTCAATGTATTATCAGCTCAGAATCATCCTATTATATTGATGCATGTGTATTTTTAAGCTTACTTTACTGTTTTGTTTACAGGAATAAAGATACTCACCACAACAAAGTCATGTAAACTTCTTTATCTTCAGTCGATTGCAAAGTTCTGCATTCTGGATAGTCAGTTATTTTATCACATCGGGATCGGAAATTCACCTTTAGTTTTATATCGAGTTGATTTTATATCCTTTAGAATTCATTTACGGCCTCAATAAATTATTTAAAAATAAATCATTTAATATGACTAATTAAGTTTAACCTCTATTTCTACTTGGCCGTACTGAGAGAAAAAAAATCCGGAAATTATCTTTTACAGAAGTCAGGCTTAAAAGTACTGAAAAGTATCATTTAAGTAGGGC